GTTGAGGTACTTTCCTTCTATACCCATTTTATTCAGAGTTTTTATCATAAATGTATGCTGTATCTTGTATCATGCATTTCACTCTGGCCTTTGTTATTTCCTTTCTTGTATTTACTTTGGATTTAATTTGCTCATCTTTTTCTAGTTTCTTAAGATGGAAGCCAAAATCATTAATTTGAGACCTTTCTTCTTTTCTTAGATAGGGATTTAGTGCTATAAATCTTCTTTCAAATAATATTTTAATGACATACCACAAACTCTATCTTTTGTGTTTTTATTTTTATTCAGTTCAAAATGCCTTCTTATTTCCCTTTTGATTTCTTTTTTGACCAATGGGTTATTTAGAAGTGTGTTATTTAATTTTAAGATGTCATTATTGATTATTGCGGTCAAAGGACATACTTTGTATGATTCAAATTATTTTAAATTTATTGAGACTTAGTTTATACCCCAGAATATGGTATATTTTAAAAAATATTTGACTTTTTTTGTTGTTGTTCTCATTCAGAGAAAGCAATTGAGCTGCGTCTGGCAAAAATTGACCATACTGCAGTTCACCCCCATTTACTTGACATGAAGATTGGACAAGGGAAGTATGAGCCGGGGTTCTTCCCTAAGCTGCAGTCTGATGTGCTTTCCACTGGACCAGCCAGCAACAAGTGAGTCAACCCCAGGGCTTCCCTGATCAAGCTACCTAATCACGGTGATGAGGGTCATCCAGTATCTGGGCGAGAGCTGGTAGAAGACTCCTGAATTTTGTAAAGCAAATGTGGAGAAGACCCAGACTATCTAGGTCGTTCACTTATTTGAACAAGAAAACAGGTGACAAAGTATCATCAGCTCCAGTCTCCACTATGCATATTGGGATAGTTCCACATGCCCAGGACCTGCAAAAAGCCAGGCTGTGGATAGGCTGAGATCATTTCACAACTGAATCTCATACAACACCAGCTAGCATTGTGTCTTTAATAAGTGGTGATTGAAATAATTGGAGACTGAACTGAAAGTAGATAACTTAGCAGGGTTGCTCTTCTTTAGTTACTTTTGGAGATGAGTGTGTCAAAGCCCAGACAGAGTTGGTTGAGTAAAGTTTTGGATCTGCATGTGAAGTTTTTGTAGATGTTTCAAGAGAGATATGTCTATGTTCCCTGGGGTGTTACCTCTTTTTTGCCCAGTCACCAATCTTTAAGCTATTCTTCCTCAAGGTCTCTGAGCTATCTCTCTTGACTTCTTGGTGGTCCTTAGATATTCAAGTTTTCTTGTGTCAATTGACCTTACTTTCTTAGTGGAATGTTCTTAATTGCCTGCTTTGATTCTGTCAGGTGGACGAAAAGGCATGCCCCTGCCCAGTGGAGGCGGAAAGATCGGCAGAAGCAACACACAGAACACCTACGTTTAGACAATGACCAGAGAGAGGTAAAACACCTTAAGAATGACAAGGAATGGCCCTGTTATCATCCTACGTTCTCCTTCTCTTTGCCATTTCTTTGGCTTCTGGTCTGATTCAAATGTCCTAATAACAATGACCTTTCCCCATAAAAGGGTAAATAATGGGGTTATTTCCTGATACCTGATACTTGAGCCTAGGTTATGACAAATCCAGGATGTACGATGTTCTGCAAATGACAGCTAGCCATTAACCATGTAGATCCTCTCCCTGAGCCAGGCCCTGTTTGCAGCCCCATTCAGGAATGATGTCAGTGCATAGAAGAGATCCTTTCACTGTCCTTTCAGTACTCACTCACACGTGATACTCTGTTCCTGGGGACTGTGACAGGAACCTCAGAAAAAGAGTCTGAAACTTGGGAGAAATCCTTTTAAAATTTGAGACTTTTTTTGTGTGTGTGTGGTATGGTAGTAAAGAAGTTAATTCTTTTAGAGTGAGAAGGAAGAAAAGCTGAACTTGGGTTAGTGCTGTGAATCTCTGAACCTGGAGAGGGGGGCACTTTTTCGCTATTTTTTGTGTATCTTAACTTAAAACAGATAATCTTGACGTGTTTTTTCTTAGAGGAGCAAAGAAGAGGAATGTTATCATTAGGTGCTTGGGGATTGAGGCTTCTTGAATTGACCTCCTGAGTCCTCATTGCTTGTAAACTGAGTTTCTCAGCTCTACTATAATTTGTTCCCAGGAAAGTTTCTAGTTGGAGACCCTGCGTTACTTAGCCACAGAGAAGTTGTGAAAATGGAGCTTCACCTTCAGAAACCTATTTCAGGAACTTCTCTTTGAGAAAAGACCCTGCAATTTGCATTTTATGCATATAAAACCCAATACAACATATTGTTTTCATGTGTCTGGCACCTCTGTGAATGGGAGAATAAGATATTTTTGCCTTTTCTGTTTTTTAAAGGAATAAATTAAAATTGCACGGTATGGTTATGAATTTTTAACTGCTGATTTATAGGATACAGTTGTGCTTAAAGTTTTTGTGAGGCTGGTGTAAAGGGTATTGGGTATTGGTGTTATTTTAAGTCTCTCCTGGGTCTTCCACCTCACTTCCATATTTCTTCTTTCAGCAGTGTTCATTGAGCACGTTTTCTTGGTCAAAATCCCTGTAGTAAGCACTTTAAGATATAAAGGTGACAAGGAGGTAGCCATGTCCTCAGGGAATACCAGTTTATTAAGGGAGCAAAGTCAGGTACACAAATAACTTCAGTAGAAGAGTCTTTTGAAAGGGCCGTATGAGAGGCAAGCCAGTGTTTGATCCCTGATCAGAGACAGCAGTGGTCAGTTCTACCTGGGTGGTCACCAAACGAGACTGTTTGCTGGAGCTGGCACCTGTTTAAGCCTTGGAGGATGATAGGATTGTCAGAGACAAAGAAGAGCATTTCAAGTAGAGGAAGTGCAGGATCAAAATCTTAGTGGCGGTTGTGTAAGGAGGCTGTGGGCAGAATATTTTGGAGGAAGGGGGTCCTGGAGGTAGCTAGCAAGTTAGGAGGGACGTAGCAGTAGTCCAGATGATCATAATTGAAGCCTAACCTTGGGGGTTGGGAGTAGGGGCAGATTGAGGGGCCAGAAGAGAGAATGGACAGAATTGTACTAGTGGAATAAACATGGGAGGGGAAGGAGGAGGTCTGGGGTAAAAGTCTTGATTATAAATCTGGGATACTGAGAGGATGTCAGTGTGCAGTTCGCTCACTGATGTGAGTTCTGTGTTAAAACAGCATATGGAGAATCACCAGCACACTGTAGAATAGCCGAACATGCAGTTGTTGTTTTGAGTGTGCATTCTTATTTCCCAGGTCCTAATTTAGCAAGGTTGTACTTGATGATACCAAGGGTAGATATCTTTGATATGGGCAGCGGAGTTAAACCCCTCCCAGCTTGGTAGGGAGAATGATTTTCTCAGTAGTACTCTGAGATTTGGGTGGGTTTGCACACTGAGCTATACGTGTTACAGCCATGTGTTTTTTACCTTTTGTATCATTAAAGCAAAGGTATTTACAGTATTAATGGAGTGCTTTGCATCAGAGAAAACAGAACTCATCATATTATCTCAGTTTTTCCCTTTGATACAAGGAAAGAGGCAGTAAGAAAGTGTGGGGTGATAGTGCCCTCTTCAGGCATCCATCAGTACTGGTGGCCTGTGGTTTGTGTGTAAGAGTCTTTGATTTTTCCTTTTGCTGTAGAAGTACATCCAGGAAGCCAGGAGTATGGGCAGCACCATCCGCCAACCCAAACTGTCCAACCTCTCCCCGTTAGTGATTGCCCAGACCAACTGGAAGTTTGTGGAGGGTCTGCTAAAGGAATGTCGCAACAAGGTGAGCTGTGGACGCCTCTGTATGTGTGTGGGTTCCCTGGGCAGCAAGGTGAGGCCAGGGCCTGGCTCTGACCACTCTGTCTTGGTTTTAAAAATATTGTAAATACAATGGGATAGTACTAATTTTAAGATCCTGTTAACTTGGAATTAGGTGTATTTGTTTTAAGTAAAATATACCATTAATTGAGAGCGAGCACACTCTGCTTGATGTAAACTTAATATGTATTCCCTAAAACTGAGAGAGAGATGTAGTTTCTAATTTTAGACATCTTACATTACTTACTTGAAATCATTGTAGTTGAATTGTCTTCAACAGATTAGTCTTACACATGTGAAAATGTTTTTGCTTCTTTATTTTAATTTGATAGCATTGGTCTCATATGCCTAGAAACAAGAATTTACTGAGTGCTAGTAAATTTTATAATGTGCCAGGCTAAAGTGTGTTATTCAGTTTTAAACTTGGGATGTTTTTCTCAATTCTACAAAGGCAGCCTCTTTTTTTAAGCTTTATTGAGGTATAATTGATATACAGAAAATTGCACACATTTAATGTACACATCTTGATGAGTTTGGACATATGCATACACCCGTGATACTATCACCACAATCAAGATACTGAACATATCTGTCACTTCCAAAAGTTTCCTTGTGTTCTTTTGTGGGTTTTTTTTTGGTTTGTTTTTGTGGTAAGAAGACTTGACATGAGATCTATCCTCTTAACATATTTTAAAGTGCACAATATTATATTGTTAATTGTAGGTACTATGTTGTACACCAGATCTCCAGAGCTTATTCATCTTGCATACTGAAACTTCATACCCACCAAGCAACAATTCCCTGTTTTCCCGTCCCCCCCGCCCCGGCAACCACTGTACTATTCTCTGCTTCTGTGAGTCTAACTATTTTAGATACCTCATATGGATGGAATCATGTAGTATTTGTCCTTCTGTGACTGGCTTGCTTCACTTAGCATAATGTCCTCCAGGTCCATCCATGTTGCTGCAAATGGCAGCATTTCCTTGTTTGTTTGTTTTTTAATCAGTTATTTTAATTTTGTTTATTTATTTTTTCCCCCAAAGCCCCAGTAGATAGTTGTATGTCATAGCTGCACATCCCTCTAGCTGCTGCATGTGGGACGCGGCCCCAGCATGGCCGGAGAAGCGGCGCGTCGGTGCTCGCTGCGGATCCAAATCCGGGCCGCCAGCAATGGAGTGCGCACACCTAACCGCTAAGCCACGGGGCCGGCCCACCATTTCCTTGTTTTTAAAATGTTATTCCCCTGTATGTGTATACCACATTCTGTGTATCCATTCATCTGTTGATGGACACTTGTGTTGTTTTCATATCTTGGCTATTGTGAATAATGCTGCAATGAACATGGGGTGTAGGTATCTCTTGGGGATTCTGATTTTAGTTCTTTTGGATATATACTCAGAAGTAGGGTTGCTGGATCAAAAGACAGTCATTCTTAATTTTTAATATTTTATTTATAAATGTAATTTCTTTTCTAATAAAAATGTAGCCTTTCAACCAAGTCAGTATACCATACTTTTTAGGACAGTTAACTAACTCAGCCTCTACCACATCCTGTTTATGCATCAATGGAAAAAAAAGACTTTCCTGCATTTTCATTTTTTAAGTGGTGGTCATTTATAGGATAAAATCAAATATACTTTCTCTTGCAGAAGAAATTACGATTATAAGTTAGATTGATATATCATTACTAATAATTTGAACTAAGGTGTTTTAGAAAAAGCTTCTGTCTGTTCACTCTGAGTCACCGATATCTGTGATTTTTCCACATGATGTTGTCTTTTCTGCCATCGAGAACATTGGTGATGCTGCCTTTCTTGAAAGGGGGCTTCTCTATTGTCTCTGAGATTTGTTTTCCAAGCCACTAACATTCATTCTCAAGTTTTGAGATGCGTGCCTGGGCACTTGGGTTGCATTATGTCCACTGCCTTGTCAACAATGACTGGAAAATACATCCCAATTTCAGAGATGTTAATATGTGGAAAGATGTACATCTTAGAATTGAAGAAATACGGTAATCAGTCTGACACTGCCAAGTGTTGGCTAGCATGTGGAGCAGCAGAAGTGGAAATTGGTATGACCACTTTGGCAAAACAGCATAGCATTATCTAGTATTCTTCTCCTAGGTAGCGCTCCCCAGAGAAACCTTTGCAGCGTGACCCAGGAGATATGTACAAGAAGATAGGGCAGCATTCTTTGTAATAGCCCCAAAAGGGAAACAACCCAAATGCCAATCAGTAGGAAAATTAATAAATTGTAGTATATTCATATGATAGAATGCTATACAATGATGGAAATTGGCAGTAGCCATCAACAGGGATGAATTTCACAAACATAAAGTTGAGTGAAAAAGCAAATCACAAAAGAAAACATACAGGCAAAACTAAACTACATTGTTTAGGAATGCAAATATAGGTGATAATCATTTCCTTGCTTTTCTGTAGTTTTATTGTGCAAGTCAGAGTAGTGATCACTTCTAGAGTGGGAAGGTGTTTGGAGAGGGCACATGGGGTGCTTCAAAGGTATAGAAGGGCAATATTTTATTTCTTAACCCAGATGATGGTTATAATAGTGTAATTGCGTGTATACATTTACACACACACTTATACATGTACATATATATATGTGAATGTATATGAGATATATTTCACAGCAAAAAACATTAAAAATAGCAACACTGAGGGGCTGGCCCTATGGTGTAGCGGTCGGGTGTGTGTGCTCTGCTTCGGCGGCCCGAGGGTTCACGGGTTTGGATCCCAGGTGCGCACTGACGCACCACTTGTCAAACCATGCTGTGGTGGCGTCTCATATGGAGTGGAGTAGAATGGGCATGGATGTTGGCCTGGGGGTGATCTTCCTCGGCAAAAAGAGGAAGATTGGCATTGGCTGTTAGCTCAGGGCTGATCTTGCTCACAAAAAAAAAAAAAGAAAAATTTACACTGGAAAGAAATATGGCAAAGTGTTGAGTTGTTGCTTCTGAAAGATAGGATTGGGGATGATTTTTTTCCTGCTCTTGAGATTTTTATATGTCACAAATTTATAATGTGATTAAATCTTACTTAAGAACTTAGACTTAATGTTTGAGCAGACTTAGGTTTGAAGGCCAGATCTACTACTTCTTTGCTGTGTGATTTTTATCAAGTTACTTAAGTTCTCTGACTGCAATTTCCTTATCAGTAAATTGGGAACAATAATAATACTCATCTCATAGAGTTATTAGGAGGCTTGCACGAGATAATGCAATGCTTAATACAGTGCCTGGCACACAGTAATAAAAGCTGCAATTATCATCATAAAGCGTGTGTTTTTTTTGGTTTTGTTTTATAATAAGATTTTGAAAATTTTTACCTAAATTATTCCTCCTCAATTTTTTATCCCCTTGACAGGTACTTCAGATATATTTCTAGGATTAAGTGCTTGAAGACCTTGTTAAATAAGGTCAATTAAACCGTGAGAATCAGAGAATGTCAGAAGTGAGCATGACCAAAGGGTTTTATTTAACTCGTTTCACCTCATAAATGCAAAAACTGAATCCAGAGTGATGAAATCACTTGTCCAGGGTCATACAGTGATTGCTGTGTTCTTATCTTCTTAACTAAATTTTAAAGAATGCACTCCACTATAACCTGACCTACGTAGTGGAGAGTAGATATACCCTACGTCTCTGGCTCTTACTCCTCTTGTCCCTCCCAGGCCAGCAGCTGTGCTGTGCAGGAGGCCACAACCCTCTCCAGTTGGATGTGATCCTGTTCACTGTGGTTATCTAATGTTACTGACTGATTCCTTATAGACCAAGAGGATGCTAGTGGAGAAGATGGGCCGAGAGGCTGTGGAGCTTGGGCACGGGGAGGTAAACATCACAGGCGTGGAAGAGAATACCTTAATTGCCAGCCTTTGTGACCTCTTGGAAAGGATCTGGAGTCATGGGCTACAAGTAAAACAGGTAATGAATGTCTTGCCTCTCCTTGCTGAACAAACTGTCTTGTCCTTTTACTAGCTTTCCCATACTCTTCCAGTATGGCTGGCTCTGAAGAATGGTGCACAGTACATATGGAGTGAGACTTGAGAATAGCTAAACAACCAACCAAGTAAATAGATGTGATCCAAACTGTTTTCTTAAAAAATAAGCTTTATAAATCTGCATGTTGGTGAGACATTTTAAAAGTGACATCTTCCTTCTTGCAAATAGAGCTGAAGGCTAAACTGATAGATCCTGTTGGGCAGCTGGGCCTAGTCTGGAGATGAAACACAAAAGAGAGTGAGAATGTGGAACTCAGAAGTACCGAACATACTCTAAGGGTCCTTCACTACATTCTCAGTAGAAAAAGCTCTGTTAACAATTCTTTTATGTGCAGATGGCTTAACCATCTAAAGACTTAAGAGAAGACTGCAGGAAGTTAAGTTTGATTTTTTTTATTGCTTAATACTCAGAGAATTTTCTTATTTCAAAATACTCTACTTTGAATAGCTAGTCAAGATGGACAGCTTTTACTTTTAAGCATTTTTAAATTTGAAAAGGACTTCAAAAGTTTTCAAAAGGAATTTTATTATGGACAAATTAGAAAATATGTATAAGTATCCAGCATATGTTTATCGAGGGCCTACAGTGTGCCAAACACTGTTGTAGGCACTTGAGATGCCTCAGTGAACAGAACAGACCACAAGCTCTGCCCTGCTGGAGTTCCCATTCTCATGGGTATAGAGACGGGCTACCACTCTTTTGTCCTTCAAAACATTTTTCTGTGCACATACACCCGTATACAGGTGTATATTTAAAAATCCAGCAGAACCACAATGAGATACATTTTCACACTTAACTAGGATAGCTAAAATAAAAAAGACAGACAGTATAACAAGTGGTAGTAAGGATATAGAGAAATTAGAACCTTCGTACATTGCTAGTGGGAATGTAAAATGGTGCAGCCACTTTGGGAAACAGTCTGGCAGTTCCTGGAAGTGTTAAACATAGCGTTACCATATGATCCAGCAAGTCCACTTCTAGTTATGTACTCAAGAGAGATGGAAACACATGTCTACATAAAAACACGTACACAAATGTTCATAGCAGCGTTATTGCTAATAGGCCCAAAGTGGAGGAACCCAAATGTCCATCAGCTGATGAATAGGTAAACTAAATGTGATATATCCATACAGTGGAATATTATTCAGCAGTAAAGGGAATGAAGTGTGGATACATGGTAAAACATGGATGAACTTTGACAACATAGTAAGTGAAAGAAGCCAGTCACGAAAGACCACATATTGTATGATTCCATTTATATAAAATGTCCAGAATAGGCAAATCCATAGATTTGTAAAGTAGATTAGAAGAAAATGCCAGAGGCCGGAGGGAGGAACAGGGAGGGACTGCTGTTGGGTAATGGGGTTTCTTTTTAGGGTGATGAAAACGTTCTAAAATTAGGTAGTAGTGGTGGTTGCACAACTGTGAATATACTAAATACTAGATTTTTTTTTTTTGTACAGAAAATTTAACGCTTTATAAGGGTGAGTTTTATGGTAATGTGAATTATATCTTAATAAAGCTATTTTTTAAAAAACCCAAATGGGATCATATGGTACATAATGTTTTGTAACTTTGTTTTTTTTCATTTCATAGTATTTTTTCCATGTCCTTAACTAATTTTTAGATGATAGTATAGTAAGTATTTAAGAGCTCAGACTAAAATCAGGTAGACCTGGGTTTGATTCCCACTTAATAATTTTATGAAACTGAGCAAGGTACCTAGTTTTTCTAAGCTTCTCTTTCATCTTACGTATGATGGAATTTTAGAAGTACCCACCTCCATAGGATTCTTCTGAGGATTTGATAAGATAATTCATGTAAAGCACTAAGCTCAGAGCCTGGTATCTGGGAGGTTCTCTGTAAATATTTGTGGTTATTATTATTCTAAAATCTTAGTGTTTTTTTTTTTTTTTTTTAATTTTTTTTTTTTTTTTTTCCCCCCAAAGCCCCAGTAGATAGTTGTATGTCATAGCTGCACATCCTTCTAGTTGCTGTATGTGGGACGCAGCCTCAGCATGGCCGGAGAAGTGGTGTGTCGGTGCACGCCCGGGATCCGAACCTGGGCCGCCAGCAGCGGAGCGTGTGCACTTAACCGCTAAGCCACGGGGCCGGCCCTAAAATCTTAGTTTTAATTACTGTATCCGTTTTATAGATGTGCCATATTTGAATCAATCCATTAGTGGTCATTTAGGTTATTTCTGATTTTTCAGTATTATAAACAACAGTGTGATTATAGATTATTTTAACTGTTAAAAATTGTGTATCACGGGGCCGGCCCCATGGCTTAACGGTTAAGTGTGTGCGCTCTGCTGCTGGCGGCCCAGGTTCGGATCCTGGGTGCGCACCGACGCACCGCTTCTCCGGCCATGCTGAGGCTGCGTCCCACATACAGCAACTGAAGGATGTGCAGCTATGACATACAACTATCTACTGGGGTTTTGTGGGAAAAAATAAATAAATAAAATTAAAAAATCACATCATAAAATTTTGAGAGTCCTGTAGTGTAGTAGCAACGCTATGGGCTTTGGAGTCAGAAAGACTTGGATTTGATTCCTAGCCCACTAGATGACTTCAAGTGACTTGCAATTTTTGTCTCATCTTCCTTATCCATAATACAGAGTTAATAAAACCTACCTTTCAGGGTTGTTATTATAATTAGATGTAATAAAAATAAGTACCCGGCATGTGGTGAGTATATAACATATGACAGTTATTATTATATTACATGAAGAATTTCTGTTTTTTTCCTTTTCTCTGTAACAAATGAGTAGAATATACATAATCATTTTATCATTTTCCTTAAAGTTTAGCAAGCCTGGCACTATAGTTGAGCTCTTTCAGCTTTTTGGTAAAACATATGCCCCCAAAACTTTGTAATATTTGCCATAAAAATCTCGAGGGAGTTCGTGAGGCTTCTGCATTTTAAAAAATAATACCATATCTTCACGTGTTCTAAACCTGTCCCCTGAGGCTTTGCAGCCGTAGTCAGCAAGAATTCCCACAGCATGGGGCATTTCTTTTGGAACCCCTTTGATTCCTCTCTCAGTTTGGATAGACAGAGGCTGCTTGTTTGGTGAGAAACCTGTACAAAATAATGAGGGCTTTTCAGTTGAGGTTCCGTTTTCTTCTGAGTCCTGCTTTTGGAGCACTGAAAGGGAAGCACTGACGGTGTCAGCAGAGGGTCTGTGCTTGTTGGCATGGCGTTTATGCCCTCAGGGACACATGTTCAGCTGGGGATTGACCCCGACTATCTGTGTTGGGTTCTTCCAGCATGTTCTCCTTAGGCCTCCATTTTGCTAACCTGTATATGGAGGACCTTTCTCCTGCTGAGACTTTCTTCAGTTATGTTCCAGACCAAAGGTTATAACCTTGTTACCTGGTCTTCTCCATCATGCCAGTTGTGCGTGATCATGCCATCTCCCAGACTGTGACCAAATTCACTCTCAGGGAGTGCTCTTATCGCCCCCTTCTGGGGGCACCTTACTGAACGACTACCCATTTTATCTACTCAGAGAGTAGGGAGAACCCAAGCAGCCGTTTTTGCTGCTTACTTCCTAAATTTTGTTTTTAACGGTGACTGCCTGCATGCAGGGCTGCCTACAGCAAGTCCTCATAAGAACCTCTGTTATCCTCACGACTCTCTTTGGCTTTCAGTGACATTTTCCAGGAACATGGGCATCTTTCTCTAGTATATTTTTCTGACAATAAAAGGTGAGGTTTGGTTTTTCATACTGGTTTTGTAACTGCTGCCATTTGGGGACTGGTAAGTGAAAAGGGATTGTTTCTCGCCTTTCATGCATATGACATTCTTGCAGAATCTGGTGCTATCTATACATTTTGTGGCCACATCCCCAAATGGGTAGTCAGGCTATATTGAACCTTGCAGTCTCCATCAGCCCCTTTGCCAAAAGGACAAGAATAATTGGAAAGACCCCCGTGCCCTCTCACTAAGCTTCAGCCCAGCTGCTGCTCTCTCACTCTTCCCTTTGCTCTCCCTCCTCACCAGCATGATCACTGTGAGCCAGAGCATCCTTCCAGCACGGCGGCCTGGTGTTGCTCTTGCCTTTGGCTCTTCAGCATCATTGCATGTGAGGGCTCTCTGGTGACCAGCTGTATTTAGAGTGTGTCACGTCCACACAGGCTGCCTTCCTAGTCTGCCTAGATGCTGGGGATACAGTGATGAATAGGTCTGAGTCCTGCCCTTGTAGGAGCCTACTCTAATGGTTTTGGTAAATGGATGGATGAATGGATTTCTAGAAATCGAATTACTAAATCAAATAGCGTAAATATTTTAAGCTCTTGTATTGTCTTCTACTATATTGTATTAATATGCCAGTTAGTAACAGTGTTTAGGAGTTGTAAGTCTCGTTGGTGTTGTTGGACATCTGTTTTTTCAAATATTTGGTATTTCAATGAATAAAAAATGGTCTTTTCTAGTTTTAACCTGGGTGCTTTTTTAAAAGTTGCCCTTGAAGTTGTTGGGTTTTGTTTTAAGTTGGTTAAATCTTGTAGGAAATCCAAACATACAGCAAGTTGATGCCAACAGCTTGCTGATCTATAGATGAGGTTTTCTCCCATTCAGATGCTTGATTTTTTTTCCCCAAAGTAGATCAAGTTGGTGAATAGAAACAAAATAGGTCCTTAGTATTCTCAAGGGAAAAATCTTGAAACTTTAAATCCTCACGTTCATCCCAGAGCGTAAAATTTTCTTCAGAAAGCATAACTTCAGAAGTTAAATGATCTCTTCCAGAAGCAGTCTGAATAGCATCATTAAGAGCAATGGTTCTGACATGCGATAGACTTAAGCTTGAATCTCAACACTGTACTTACTAGCTGTGTGATCTTTTACAAGTGACTTAATCTTTCTGGTCCTCAATTGGATCTTTTCTAAAGGAAATGAACATAGAGATACCTACCTTGTAGGATTGTTGGGAGCATTAAATAAAATATTGTTTTTTAAACATTTAACGTAGTGCTTAGTTCAGAACAAGCCTCAAGACATTGTAGCTTCTATCATTATTATTATTATTATTACTTTTATAAAATACAGAACTAAAGTCATTTATAAAATTAGTATAATAGCTCCTGCTAAAATAAACATTATACTACATTTATGTTATATCAACTATATAGGAACATTTATCATGAATCTGAAATAAGTTTTGATCATGTAACAAGGATCACTGTGTACTGAAGGATGACTAGAAAGAGACAAAGCAGTTGCTGGGTGGCCAGCTGGGCTCCCTCACTACCCAGGCAAATTTTTCTCTTCCATCAGGCTTGCAAATGCTATTCAGATTTGTGCCTTGGTAAAATGACAAATTACTGCATGTCTCAAATAGTTTAAATAATTTTATTTATTTATTTTTCCCCCAAAGCCCCAGTAGATAGTTGTATGTCATAGCTGCACATCCTTCTAGTTGCTGTATGTGGGACGCGGCCTCAGCATGGCCGGAGAAGCGGTGCGTTGGTGTGCGCCCAGGATCTGAACCCGGGCCGCCAGCAGCGGAGGGCACGCACTTAACCGCTAAGCCACGGGGCCGGCCCTCAAATAGTTTAAACTGCAACTCTTAATTTCCAAATGCCAAGGGCCTGTTATACTGACTGTGGTATATCTCAGCCTTGTAGTTAAGTACCAGCCTGCCTTTCTGCACGCTTCTTCAACTGTATCTTCAATAGTAAATCCTCATCATAGTAATGACTTATTCTCCCCAGCCTGCACTAAGGGCAGGAATGCCTTTAAATATTTTAGGAAATTCAGGAGCTATCATAGAATCTCATACACTGAATATCAGCTCCTCTGTACAAAAGCCATTGTGCTCTACCCAAGCTGACCTTCGACCAACAGACCCTTTAGAGGTTGATAGGTTATTTGCTTTTTTCTTATCCAAAAAGAGCCCATTCGCAGTCTCTTTTTGGCTATGTCCTTCCTATTCCCAGTGGGGGACCGTTTCTCTTTTCTCTTCCCTTCCATTTTTCTTTATATATCACCTGGATTTTAGTAGGGGCATGTATTTGTAGACATTGCATCCAGGTGTACATTGAGATAAGAAATAGTATGAGTACTTTTTAGCAAAAGCCTGTATCTGTATGTTCAAATTATCTCTGACTGTTCACTAGATGCCGTGGCCTCTGAAATCTAAACTGATAGGTATTTCTTCCTTGTGTTGGTTCCAGGGGAAATCTGCTTTGTGGTCCCACCTGTTACATTATCAGGAAAACCGGCAGAGAAAACTCACATCAGGAAGCCTCAGTACCTCAGGTAAGATGGTCTCTGTACCACTGGAGAGAATTCCCTCCACCCACTTTCCCATCCCCCACTGGAGTGATCATCTGTAGCCGACTGTTCCAGGTCAATGAAGCCTTTGCTCTGTAATGTTTTCTTTTTTAAATATTAAGCCACTGGGCTCTCTGAACCACAGAGCATGCCAAAGTCGTAGAGTTTGCTTTCTTTAGATGCTTCTATACTGTTTTGATCGGTGAGATAGAAGATTTATATCAGCAAGAGGCCAGTCTTAGAATGAATTTAGGTTTTAAATGAATTTGGGTGGTACTGATATCCTATGTTTGGAGCAGGCTGTTTTCAGAGTCTTTTATTTCTCTGAGATGGACGTTGAGATGATCTATCCTATCAGTTAAGAAAGCCTATTTGTCAGTGTCCTACCTTGGAACTTCTCAAAGTTGAGGCCTGGTGTGAATGATCCCTTATACGTCCTTTCTGTTTCTAATTTAATAAAAATATCAGAGTTGGCAGGGACCGCAGAGATCATCTAGTCCAGCTGTCTTATTTTACAAGAGGAAGAAACTGGGATCCAGAGAGGAATTGAATTTACTGGAGATCACACACGGAATTGATGGAAGAAACCAGAATAGGAGGCAGGCCTCTTGTCTCCTGGTCTGGTGTTCTTCATACCATCCTACAGTGTCCCTTCAGGACAGCCCCCCTCCTTCTTTTACTTCTTGGCAGCATCTCCCCTTCACAGCATCCTTCATTCTCCTCTCTCAGCCAGGGACTTTGTTTACCTTTCTTGGATGTTCTTATCCTAATGGTAAAGATCAGTTTAAATGGGAGTGAAAAGATGGGTGTGAACTCAGTGTTGTCTTTACCCTTGCACTGGTTAACCTCAACTAGCACTGAACGTCGCTGTAAACTAGGTATGAGAGCTCCCTCAGTAACCTTATAAGGAGTTTTTTCATTCACTTTCTGGATATGGGAGCAAAGACTCAGGAAGGTTTTAGAAGTTATTGCTAAGGGATAAACTGTAGCCAAAAGTTCTCAACAGCTAAGTGATGAAGATACTAAGGTTTAAATGTTGGGCTGGACATGAGGATATAAAGATATTGTATCTAGAGGTCCTAAGCATTCTGGAACATGTTCTTTACACATTCCCTTTGCTCTTTTGTAGTCCATTTTGAGGCAAGATCAGGACGTGAGTAGTAGCTCTAAGTGGAAGCACTGCTCCCCTGGATTATGATGAGAATGTGCTGGATTAGGAGCCAGAGGATCTGTGTTCCTTCCAGTCCTGACTTTGCCACTTGGTGACTGGGGCAAAGCAGCTAACCTCTCTGAATTTCAGTTCCCTCTTCTGTGATACCTTCCTTGGCTATCTGATAAGTTATTAGAGAATTAAATGAGATAATAAGCATAAAAGTATAACATCTGATACCTAGTAGGTACTTAATAAATATTCATGAAATGATTGATCAAAGTGTTACCAAAGTAACCAGCTGTTACCTGTAGAAATTTGTGATTTGAGATAAGGATAGTCAGCCATTTGGATAGTCAGATCTCTTTGGATGTGACCAACTTTTTTTTTCTAGGAATACTTCTTGATTCAGAACGGAGGAAGTCTGATGCCAGCTCAGTCATGTCTCCCCTGAGAATCTCCCTCATTCAGGATATGAGGTCAGTCTGGGCTCATATGCAATAAACTACTAAAACTCTGTTTTCACTTGCTGCTTAGGTGTCCACTTTAAATAGCAGGGTCTGAGTGACTTGGGCTTCTACAGCATTTCAGTTAGCCAGGAAGCCCTCCTCATTGGGCTTATGCTTCATGATGCGTTTGTAGAGCTGTACAGGCAGTTGGGTTTCCTGACATTTTGGGAGAATTATACCAGAGTATCTCCAGGCATAAGGGCTCCAGGGTTAGGCCGGCTTTCTGAGAGCTGTGCTGTCTTGCTTCCTCCCAGATTGTGGTGAGCCTATCTGGCACAGCTACATGGAAGCCCAGGATTTAGAGAACAAAAGAGATGGCCTCTCCCAGGACGGGATAGGGCTGCCTCACCAGCCTCCTTTGGCTTTACAGGGAAGGTGTTGGTAGTGAGTTCATCTCCCACCCCACCCTCCACTTCCTTTTTCACATTCCCCCTTCAGGCACATCCAGAACATCGGGGAAATCAAGACTGACGTGGGAAAGGCCAGAGCGTGGGTGCGACTGTCCATGGAAAAGAAGTTACTTTCTAGACATCTGAAGCAGCTTCTCTCAGACCATGAGCTCACCAAGTAAGGCCACTCCACCTGGAGTAGAACCTGGCTCCCGGGAATGGCGCGGAGGGGTTGGAAGCCGCTGTGCGGGAAGGGGGAGTGTTCCGCGTGTCATTACTGCTGTCTTCAGCTTAACTCAAATTGCATGTGAAGGTTTCGCAGCATTTCTTCTTCTCCCTCTTTGTCTGTAGAAGAATAATTCTGCTGTATTTGTTCTCCCCACCTTCTCAATCTACATGTCCAAAAATAGCTTTCTTAAAGAGCTAGTGAGAAGGATGGGGTTCTCATTGGGTGGGTACCTCAGAGTTTTGGGACTCCTCTCCTTGCTGCACTCAGGTGACTTGTATACCTCATGGGCACAGGGCATTTTCTTGGTTTCTTTCCTTTCCTGGGGAGGAAAAGATTGGAGAATTAAAAGGAAACTTCTAAGATATCCCGTTCGTTCTTTCTTTCTTTTTTTTTTTTTGGTAAGGAAGATTAGCCTGAGCTAACATCTGTTGCCAGTCCTCCTCTTTTTGCAGAGGAAGATTGGCCCTGGGCTAACGTCCATGCCCATCTTCCTCTACTTTATATGTGGGTTGCCTGCCACAGCATGGCTTGATAAGTGGTGTGTAGGTCTGCGCCGGGGATCCGAACCTGTGAACCCCAGGCCGCTGAACCTGAGCGTGCGAACTTAACCGCTACCCCACTGAGCTGGCCCCAAGATATCCCCTTATTTCTTTTGTTCTTTCTTGAGCCCAGGGCCAGCCGAAAGTAACCAAGTCCTTGTTCTTCCTCTCTGGACCCTGCCTTAGTCTCCCTAGAGCTTAAAAGGGCTTAAAGTGACCCTCCTAGGCTCTTTCACTCCACACGGTCCCCTCAGAAAGAGGAAGAGGGGAGATTCCAGGGCCCTCACACTGCCAGGGCCACTAAACCTACAGTTCCCTCTTATGACCTGATGTCCTTTGCATTCTTTCTGTACCCTGGGTACTAGAGGAGGAGGAGGGGGGAGGGCTGTCCACCTTCTCTGCCTCTCACTACCACCTCTCTGTTTTTTCCTGTGTGTTGTATGTTTGGCTCCTTCTTCATTGGCAAGCCTGTTGGGCATCTTTTTTTTTTTTTTTTTTTTTT